CTATTCCTTGGAGCACAGCGAGGACAGAATAAGTGCTAAAGGCCACATATAAGCAACAGCCAACGTGCCTTACGTACACCTGAAAACAGGGCAAACACTCAGAAACTGATGTCAGCGCTGTCTCTACCAGCAAAGAACCACATCAGCAAACGTTCGAAGGAAACGTCAGAGGAACTGATGCAGCGCCAGACCACCAACCCTGCCTGAAAATCCTCCCCAAATAACCTCGTCTAACATGGATATTTTGCAATTTGCAGGCCTTAATGATGCCCGTTGTGAATGAAACTTTTTTTCCCCCTTAGAAGCTGATATGGGAAAAGCCATTAGTTAGCTGACAAACCTGTCATAAACAGATGCTGCAAATCTTTCAAGAGTCAAGGGCATTCTGACTTCAGATGAAACCAAAGTATGGTTTAATATAGAACTAGTGTGAACACTTAATAGCCTTCAACTGAATTAAGGACTAGTCTGCTCCAAGAAATCGTATTAAAACTTTTCCATTCACGCCACATGGCTTACCTCCAGTGTTTAAGACTCAAAACTGAAGTTTCTGCTAAGAAATCCAGAGCATATGTCAGTGGAAAGATCAAAAAAGTGAAATTTATATAATATATTCATCAAACACACAATGTTTGTTTCATCTTGTACTCTTATAGCTGTTTTAGTCCTACCACAAGGACTCTGCTTGATAGGAAGATGACTACAGGATTCCCCTGCCTTCACAGCAGTTAGCAGGGTCTTTATCTTCATAAAGCAGCATAAGGCTTCTTTTTCCTGGGAGTCCCTAGAGGATTTTTCAGTGGACCTAGAAAGGAATGCATACACCCTAGTTCCTTCCACCAGAGCTTCATAAACAGCAACAATAACGGAGGTAAGGGGATAGCCTGTAAGTAACAGGACAGTCTTCAGAAGCCTGTAGACTTCTACTCTTCCCCCAGCGGACAGCTGACCAGTCTCACCCAGTCCTCTGCACGTCCAGCACTGCCAAACCCTAGCCCAGGGAGAGCTCTGTGGCCTAGTGAGTTCGAACACCGGTTATCCATTCTGCATCCCTCCTACAACAGGTTTCCAAGGAGTAGGAATCAATAACGGATTTGGGCATGTTTCTCTTCTCTGGCAAACTATTCTGAACAGTCACCACAACGATTTCTTTTGAATCCTCTATCTGAATTTCACTGGTACGGTAACTGGTCAGTGTGACTGTTGCAACCAGCAAGCAAGCAGCACGACAGATGAAAAGGCATAAACGAAGCTCGCTGAACTCCGCACCAACCCAGGTATGTTTGAGGCAATGGCATGGCTTTTAGTTACACAACAACTTGACAGGATTGCTTTTCTGAATACAACACCTGAAAGGCAAGACTGAACGCAAAAGCCCATCACCTCTTCCAATTCCACCAGGCTTTGGTGAAGAACACCATTCATTCCTGATGGGACAAGCTTGAGGGCTACTGAAGAAGAAGTTTCACACCCCACATGTTTATGGGTTGTCTTGTTACTATCGGCTCAGGAAACAGTCAGAGGTAAAAGGTCAGCCTAGATGCAAAGTGAAAACAAGAGGAGCATGCAGCAGAAATGCACAAACAATTGATTTACAAACTTTATTTGAAAGTTCAACAATTAGAAGAAAATACATTGCAATTGTTTTAGCTTTTAAAATATCCCAAAATAAATTACATAAGACTTGCACAGTTCTAAATATTAAAAACATTGTAAAAAATAATGGCGCTCTCATATGCCAAGCTTAATCCTTTTTGACCATATTAAAAGTTGCCTGTACAGAGATTATTTTGATAGCTAGGTAGAAAAAAATAGACAGTTTTCAGATCTTGATGCCACAGTAAAGAGTCACAGGCATAGGCACTTAAGGGTAAAAAGAGATCAAGAGAGATAACATCCCATGACAGTCAGATCTCCATCTGCACACCCGATCTCTAACTGAACACCACTGTCAATTGCAAAAGGCTTTAAGCAGGGGACATTATCCCACACCAGTAGAATGGAAAGCGTGCTGTTAGATGCTGTAGGTCACAGTGGAGTTTAATTTTAATTTTAATTCAAGACCTTGACGCCCCCACAAGGTTACCAGTGCCTTTTACAGAAGACGTGTGTTTTTCAGAAACTGAGCATGTTTATATTGGGCCTCACTTGACAGGTTTGAGCCACACCGATTTTTACTGTCCTCAGCTCCCTGTTAAGGAAAAATGCCCTTTATTTGAAAATTAACTTTTGCATCTTTCTTTGTTCCACACTTCTTCCCAGATTTACAGGTGCTGGCATTCAGACAGACAATCACAGAATGAAACCTAATGTCAATTACTGCTCCTTTCAACGCTCCATTACAGTTTTGTTATAACAAAACAACATCAAATGCCAGGAACACCTTGGAGGTTTTTCTTTCTACTGTATCACACCAAACTCCTGATGTGCAGTGAGCATACAGTTATCTTCCAAACCAAGATATGAGTTTCAAGCCCAGCTCAAGTTCAGTATCAGATTTTTGACAGCTAGAAGATAGCAGACTCAAATTTAGGTAGCTCTAGACACATTTTCATTAATCCCAGAAAGCATTTGCTCCTTTTCACCCTGATTTCTGTCTGTGCCTTTGGGTCGTACCAAGATATTATCTCCCCTCTACCCCAGAACTTGTCTATTGACAGCACTACTGCTAGTCACACACTCAGTTAAAACACAAGTCTCTCGGCTCTGTATCTACTTCCTAATACTTTCATATTGATTATTATAGCACAGTAAAGTAAAAGAATGTCATCTGCACTACATTTGCTGTTCCCTATAGGGTAACAGCTCGGTAGGTATTTTATATCAGTCTTGGACCTGATGCACTACATACCCTCCCCCTAATGTGTCAGAGTCCTCAGCTCTAGTTACTCTCTGGAGGTATCCATGACAGTCACAGTTACAGACTTGAAATATTATACATAGGCAACTCAGTATAGCTCTGCTTCTATTTAGCAAAATGACTCTCTTTCATAACATCACTTCCAGAAACAGAGGGAAACAGGTCTCAGCTTCTGCCAAGAGGATTCTATCCCTTTTATTCTTTTATTTTATATATTTTTTGTCCTTTCTGCAGATGATAGTCATGTGACCGAAGTACCAGCAGGAAAAATTTACCCAACGGTAGCGTAAATGACATTCTTCAGACTGCTTTGGGTATGGAGAGCTCCCAAAACTGCCTTTGGAAATAGCACAGGCAGCATTTCCACTGATGGGATTAAATGAAATCAGCTGCATTGTGCTGCAGCCATCCAGTTTCCTCTCTGGCTGCAAGTACTGGCATGAACCATGATAAGCCTCAGATAGTGCTTCATTGAAATCAAAGAACCGAGACAGCTCTGACTTATTAGTATTCTGTGAAACAGCGGCGACTGATTTTTAATTTAAAAAAAGAAGAGGGAAAAGATGATAAAAATCTTATATTTAAAAGTGTGCTTCCTGTTTACAGGAATCTTTATTACTCCTTGATGACAAAGAAACCATTAGGGTCTCCACAAAACCTTCACTGTGTGTTTGTAAAATTAAATTCTCCTTTCAGTAAATATCACATAACCAATCTAGTTCACCTTAAAAAACAACCCTACACATTGTAACGCCTATGAAGGATGTTGGCATGATAGTAGGAACTATAAGGTCCTCCTTCCAGTCAAGAACGGGTACAGTCTGCATAAAAGATCTGGAAAGACCCACCTGACCATAATCTCCACAGCCCATTATGTCTTTGGTCCTTCCATGGACAACAATATTGTCAAATAGTGTTATTTCTAGGTGTACTCTTAACGTCTATTACAAACCAACTTCTGTTGCCAAACCAAACTGCACGGGTTGGGTTTTGTATATTATGCTCACCCCAACCCGCACCCCTCCGTACAGAGCTGGAAGCGCCCATGCTCTCCAGCAGTCAGCCTCACAGCTCTGCCTGACGACAGAAGGTGGCTGTATATTGTGACCCCGCTCCCAGCCTGTGACTGGACTTACTGTGCACTCGCTATACATCTGTCTCTGTGTTGTGTGCACCTGTAAAGTACTGCTGAGAGGAGAGATCAGCCACAGCAGACTTAAAACCCCTCAGCGCTCAGCGTACGAGCAGTCTACTTAGGTGAAAGCTTCAGTCAAGTGACAGAAACTAGAACAGGACGTAAAGCAACATATCTGTGACGTCAAATGTTTTCTTATTAGAGATGACCCTGCATAAGCCACTCATATTTGTGATATGTAAGCAGAAAAAGCAGTCACAAGGGTATCCTTCACAGAACACTCCTGCTATTATGCACCTTCTCTGACAAATACAAAAAACTGATTACGTGATTGGACATTTCAAATACAAAACAGTACCATACATATCATGGCAAGCACACTTGGAAAAAATAAATAAGAAAATCCTGCTGATACAGTAGGACTAGAATAGCCCTATGAAAGGGCTTTCTAAAAGCCTTTACAAAGTCTGGACAGACTGTAAATGTTCAGTATAAAAATAAACAAAAAAGATATTAAAATATGACACGGTAAGATTTTTAAATAGACAGGAGCTGGTAACAAATACAAGCTGTTCCCCTTCATGGACACAGGCTGAAAACTGGAGCCACGTCATTAACTGCTTTACGATTTCACAAATTATTTTAGTTGACCTGAAACAAAACTTTGACATGGAACAGCTTAAGGCTTTATTGCTTTCATTTAATTTTGGCAATTGGATTTATAATCCTCATTGCAAGACAAAATATTAAAGTGTGTTGATTCAGTTTTTAAATCCAAACTCTCTGCGTACCAGGAGGATGAGGTTAACAGCCAGGCAGTGGCTTTTAGCCATAAAGTCTGAAGCGATGACATATCAAACAATTACTTACTTATGGCTGAAATGGTGACAACTGTCACGAAAAGGGGCTGATATCTCCCCTTTTTCATCTTCCATATACTTTATCTAGGTAGAAACAGTTTTGTGAATAGAATAATTCAAGCTCACCAGAGCCTGTTACCAAAACTTAAAAGTGAGCGTAGCTTTTCTTTGTCTGCAACAACGGAGAGGCAACGACAATATCATCTGAATCGTCCGAGTGAGCTTCATCCACGGGCAGAGGGAGAGGAGGCTGCGCTTGCTTCTCAGAGGACCTGGCTGAAATAATTACAAAGGAAACAAGGTCATCAATAAACAACATTGACAAAAACAAGCCCTTGTGGGAAGTGCAATATTCTCCGAGCCATTAAGTTTCCAGCATTACCCACAGTTATGAATAGCTCCGATCTATCTTTTTCCACATGTAACTATTCCCATTCCTCTCCAACGAATGAGCATGCACGGCAAGCGTTAAGCTGACACACCGACCACACCTGATTTGTCTTATTGTCTTTAAATCTCTGCAAGTGGTTACACACCACAAAGTAAGGCAATTCAATACTGAAGCCATCTTGGGTCGTAAAAATAAATATTAGATGGCCAGAAAAGGAAAAAATGACCCAAGCAAGCTTAAGCTAAGCAGAAAGGTCATAATGAGAACTTCAGCCAGAGAAAATGGAAATCAGTAAGTAAAAAAAGGATGGAAGCTCTCAGTGACTTTCATCCTTATATTTGTTAAACACCAAAAATATTATTCACTTGCTGTACTACCTTACTTAATGACAATAAAAATGGTGACCACACCGTGGCTTTTTTTTTTTTTCCCCTCTTACTTTGCTGTTTTTCTGGGTGCATGGCTCTATGCATCTCATTGACTCCAACATTTGAACAGGTTCAGGGCATGAACAGATAGAACCCTAATGATTCCAGTAAATACTGGAAAAATCAGAGGGATGAAATGGATACGCACAAGGCCCCTGAGATCTGATGAGCAGAACCAGCAGCTTGTATACCCTCTGCAAGAGATCTATGAACTAAATGATGACAGCTATTAATACCTTCTAGCACAATATGCTCCCCTCAGCTCCACTTATTTTTCAATTTAAAATATCAATTCTCTGAAAACACTGTCTCCCAGAGAAGAAAACAAATCAAGACAACCTGTGGTAGAAAGAGGAAACAGACAAGTAAGAAGCCATATACTGAGATTTTGACCCTGAAATGGAAGGGAAAATGAAGAGCACCCAGAGAATATTACCTGGGGAGAACAACAGATGTGCCATGGGTCTCATAGTGAAATAAGAGGTTCCTGACACGGAAAATAAAAACCCTGGTATGGAAGAAGAGGCACACACAGCAACTGGAATGTGGAATAAAGACAGGAGACCGCAACCAGCCCAGAAATAGAAAAAAGAGTGACAGACAGAGAGCCTGTGAACGGAAAAGAGGAATGCAGGGAGGCCCTTACACTGACCTCAACCTACAGAAGCAAAGAAACACGCAACTTTCTAGCTAGCTAAATTCTTCTCCACTTCAGTCAAAGAATGCAAGAGTTTTTCAGGAATATTTACGAGCCAGTAGTACTGGTGATAAGGATGAGCAAAGAGAACTTCCAGAAGCAGGCGTGATAAGTAGAAGGTGCAGCTCCAACAGATGTGACACATGAAATAGCTTAATATTGTCCAAATCACTGTTGATTATATCCTGCTATTGATGTCTGAGATTTTCCCGTCTTCATGTTCAGTTTACTGCACTTCAGAGCGACAACTTTATCTTTGTGCTTGTGAGGGGGTAAACACTGATTAGACTTAAGGGTTGTGTGCAAATAAATTATGATTTCAAAAAAGCCTCAAATTGAGTTAACAGTTGTATCCAGAGCAGCTAGCAATACGCAGAGAGAAACGCTGCCCTTATTCGAGTTTGCTGGGCATGTACAGAACATATTCTTCCTTCCTGACACTCCCCTGTCAGAAAGAAAGAAAACGCTAAGTTTCACAGACTAAATTGTTACTATCTTTACCATTTCATGGCAAGCAGCAGATATGGCTTTACAAATCTCAAAGTACTGTCCACATTCTGAAGACAAGCAAAGCAGCACTGAATGCTACACCATTTTTGCACACCCCCCCTTTTTTTTTTTTTTTTTTAGAAAAAAGTCTGCAATGCTAGACCAGGATTACATAAATTTGTTCTAGCAGATACGTAAGATTCTTTAAAACACATTTTCATCTTTCCCACTCCTCTCAAAGTAACCCTGAAAGGCTAGTGAAATTAAGTGACTTACTGTAACATATACTTTCACTGAAAGTTTAAGATCATTGCAAGATCTAGAGGTCACAAAATGCAAGTTTGGACTTGGGACAAATGAAGCAAGAGCTTGTTCAACAGCTGCATGATTTAAAGCTAAAGGAATTTGATTGCTTTAAATCACTCAGCTGTTAAACAAGCTCCTTGTCTCATGTACTTTCCAAGCTGCAGGATGACCAGTGAAATACATTACATCAAAACCCAATTTTGCTAGTGGATTTTTACATCAGTCATGAGCTAGGAACGACAGATGTTGGACTTTCAGTCACCTTTAACCTGTTTAAGCTACATGAATTCAAAAGGCAAAAAACCTGCTATAAGCAAACAGATTGTCGAGGGGTCACATTTCTTCATAAAGACGGCACTTACACCAGAACGTTCTCCTCCCTTTGGTATTCTTTTCCCCAATTTGTCTTTTGGGAGAGTTTGGTTAAAAACTCCAGTGCACCAAGAGCTAACACTTCACAGAGCTACTCCGTGGAAGACAATGTTTTGGGCACTTGTGAAGAGGCATGCTTCTGTAACTGCACAAGTTACCTAGATACATCGCAGATTTTGAAAATGTCACCCATAATCGTAAAATCAGCAGCAAATATAACCTGCCTTGCTCCCAGTCCCTCTTCTTTTATATTGACCAGAAAAGGACTTCAAGGAAGAAAGTTTGAATGCTTATGGTCTCCTCTCTATCCCTTCTGGTGTAAATTCTTCCAGAACTTCTTCACTCATCACTTTGTGATCATAATCTGCAATAAAGGTTAGCTGTGGAGACTTCACAGCTCGGTAGTGACTGTGCCCTATTAGTATTCATATGATTACCAGACTAGCTTCATCTTATACCCTTCTTGGGTTTTCAGAAGCATTTCTTCAGAAGCACAAAGCATTTTTTTTTCCAAGTGATTCTTTCTCTTGGGGTAGAATTTCGCAACTGATTTACTCTGGGTTTAGACTGAGCATACCAGTAATGACTACTGCAGCACAACCCAGGCAAAACAGGATGCTGCAGCATTGTTTTTCTGGATACTGTCACTAGACAGAACTAAAATGACTCAAAACTAACATCTTCAGAAACAAGTACTACCTACTCCTTCACAAAGTAGAGTACGCTCGTGAATATGGAATACAGTAAAGTTTTTTAAACACGTTTTGCTTCGCTGAAGGGTAACCTCTGTATTCATAAGCCCTGCAAATCTGGCTCATTCCCCATCTCATATCTTAGAGAAACAGCCTCAGCTGCTTACAGCCTGCTCTGTCTCTGAGCAAGTCCGCAGGGACTGTCAGCTTTTCGTTGACAAAAAACAAGTTAATGTTTCTCAGGTCACCCTCAAAGTTGCTTTTTTCTCCAACTGGTCCATAAAAGTCTAAAACATCCCACTCTGGACAGAACCAACTTTTTTTTTAACTTCTTTGAAACTGCATGTTTAAGGCTTATTGTTTTGCTATTCCTACTTAGTAATTCTAACACCCCCTTAAAAGCCTCTTTGGCTTTAACTCCCATCTTCTCACAAACAGCAATGAAGAATTCAAGAAGGAAACCAAATGGCACAAGACAGACGTTTTCCCAGTTTGTATTACAGTGGTACTCATTGACAAGGCTATCCAGGACTTCATTTTTCCCCTTACTGCAGCAACTGAAGACTGCTGCTAGGACAGTTCTTTTCACCAGATGTCTGTTCCCTTCAGAAACTAAGTCAGGATGGTTCTCAGCTTGTTTATTGCCTCGGGGTCAAAACATAGTGGAAAGTACCATACTACAGCTACAGGGCTGGGGGGATTGAAAAATACAGGGGAACACCGTGTTCCTTGAATAATTACCACTCAACACCAGAGAGAGACCTTCCAAACCATGATTGCGTCAAAAAGGCAAAGCATTGTGAGGAAGCTGGTACTGACACGGTCAAAGCTTTTATTTCTTTATGTAAGGGACTGTACTTGCCAGTATAAGCAACACGTCATCAAATTAAAAGACTACACACAGAGCACAAGTATGCATTTGCACATGTGTGCATGTTCTCTATAAAATGGTGTGTGCACCCACTCAAAGCACCCATACTTGTGAACACAGAGGAAAATGAGATTACCAGGAAGAGATGACATGAAGATTGAAGGTCGTCTCTGGAGCGCTGCTGAGACTGGTTTCTCCTCTGTAACATGAACCGCAGAATCTGCTTTCTCACTTGCTGCGCCGGACACAGACGGCCTGCAAAAAGACATACTGCATAGCGCGAGGCACGGAGCAGCGACTGAAGTCTGTCTGCAGAGGGTATGCTGAAATGTTTCTTGGGTCATAGCCTCCAAGAGACAAAAGTTTATCATCTGCAGAAGTGAACTTGGACACTAAAGTGAGGCCACAGCCACATTACTCTCTTTGTAACCACAGCAGGCAATATTAAACACTTTCGGAGCCGTAAACCATGGAGAAAAAGGAAGTATTTTTCAAGACAGAGTCATCACAAACATTAGCAGTAAGCAAAATCACAGCATTCTTCCTGAGCTAGGTCACTAGATGGTATTCTAGCTCTTCCCTGTTCTCCCTCCACATAACCCTGAACTTTTACATGTCAGGGCTCCAGAGTCACTTACATTAAGCAAGTGTACTAGCGACTGGTTTAAGAGAAATTTTAATTTTTAATTTTTTTTTTTCCAGAGTGTAATTATTTTACTTTACTTGTCCTCATTGCAATGAAAGAGAACATGCAACAGGATATGGGAAGACTGCTGCTGCAACCAGAAACCCTTTTAGTTGCATACCCTTTGACTTTTCTCATAAGCAAGACCTCCCTTGTCTTTGTTGGAACAACAGCCTTGTTCTCCTCCTCTGCCCACACTAAAATTCTATTAAAAAAACAACTCCTCTCCTGTAATAAAACCAAATTTGCTACTGCACATGGCAGAAGTACCTATTCCTTACTCACCTCTCCTCAAGCAGTACTGTACGTGCCAAGTGAGCCCTGAAAACGGACTGGATGAATGTCACAATCTCATCTTTCTCCTTGCAATCAGAAGACCAGGAGTTTGACATGGAAGACACGCAGGAGTTCTGCAAAGCAATCAGATTAAAGAAAACTGACCTTTTAAAAGCTTGACAGTAGCTTTCACAATCTTACTCCTGACTGTGAAAGTGATAGTAGAGCAAATATTCCCATCTTTTGGTCTGCAGTCTTTAAGGTTCTGTGAGACTAAATCAGCATGAAATGCAAATCTGATCATCATACAAGCTTTAAAGCATCTGTATTCAATTAATGAACGAGCAAACACCTGCAAGGGAAGTTCATTTATCTTCCAGGAAGGAAATCTTTCCAAGTCAAAGGAGGTAACGCAACCTTCACAACGGATATATCTTCTGCTTCTATCAAGCAGAAGTATTCAGTCCTACTACACTGGGCCAGTTTACTGAAATAAACGTGCAACCAGATGGACAACCTGGATGGAGAACTCCAAATTAACTTTAGCCTGCTAAAGGTCCAAAGGATGTTTATATAAGTTGGCAAATGATTTACAGAAACTAGATGTTTAATCGGTAAAGAAATTGTTTCCTGTTCAGAACTGAGCAATCCGGAGCGAGTTTGATGTGACAGGGGACACTACAAGTCTTTGGTTGAGCACACCACACGCAAGACTCCTTTACTTTTCAATCCAATCAAAGATGCTTTCCAAACTCTTATTTCTGAACTTCAGTTACAAGGTTTGTCTATTACTACAATGATTCAGTAGTGAACACTTGAGAGCAAGTACAGTTTTCAATAGCACTCCGAGTTAAAGAGCCAAAGGGTACGTCATTAGCTGATGGGAGTACCAGAAAAAAAGAGGAGACCCAGTCATACTCCATAATGCAGAGAAGTTACAGCTTTACTTCTAAGAAAAACTATGAACTAAAGAAGATGGAAAGGGAGGCTAGGGAATGAGCTCGGTATCTTTCTGGAACTACAGTGGTGCTGCCAACCAGTGCATTAAAACATCACCGGGTGATTCGGAGAATTAAGTCTGGAAGTACAGTACTTCACACTGTAAACTAAACATAATGGGATGCCTGGATACCCGTTCGCCCCAACAATTACCTTGTGAGATTTTGCATCGTGCATCCTGTTATTCAGTAACAGTTTCTGTCGAGCTAAATGTCCTCTGAAAGCTGCCTGAAGCATAACAACTGCCTAGCATGGAAATAAATAAGCAGATGTTAGTTCCTTTGAAAGATGGCAACTATAAATTAAAACAAGAGTCCAGAGGGAAGAGGCACACGGGGAAAAGAACTTTTCCCTGTGCAACGGAAACTCTTCGATGTTTGGACATTTTCTTACGTTTAAGGGATACCCACGTCCCCATTACTGCACAGGTACTCTGCTGCAAGCCAGAGAATTCCCAGCTTGTGACAACCCATAGACATACACCTCCATGGTTTAAATTCAATCTGGGATGTGTTTAGAATCACGTAATACAGAAAAACTCTCCTGTCTTCGCATCAAATCTTGTTCAAAAGTTTCAGAAGCGTTCATTTTGCAGAAGGTACCAAGTACAGAAAATTTGAGACCAAATGGGGAACACTGACAAAATACATCAAACAAAACGAGGACATCAGAAGGTACGTCATGAGCCAGCCTGAAGAACGAACATGATCTTGGTACAACAGTTCATGTTATAATAAATGCTCTTTAAAAATAAAAAAGTTATTTGTTTGTGCTTTCATACAAATTAAATCTGTTCTACTGTTTTGTTGGGTGTTATAAACACACTCACCTCATCCATAGCAATTTCTTCTTTCTGAAATGAAAAATGCAGAAGTTAATGCCACAAATATATAACTTTTCTCTAATAAAGATTTTCCAAATTTCCCCAACAATTAACACACACAGAAACACCTGTCCCACCTCTCCCTGAAAACTCAAACAATAAACTTAAGCAAAAAAAAAAAAAAAAAGGTTTTCCCCTTTTCCCCTTTGAAAGATGTGTAGATAATTCTTTTATCTTTAATTTTCTAAGAATCACTTACAAGACCCACCTCACACCATGTGTCCTATACATGGAAAAAGCATCATTATGTTGTTACCCATAGAAAAAAAATTAAGTTAAACGCTTTTTTCTAGACCATTTTGTCCTAGTTGGGTGAAACTCAATATACAAAGCTTCCTGTATTGTTTGCAGAATTTCTGCAAGGGGAATTTAACTTCTCAGTCATACTCCAAGGAAGCAACAGCAGCAGCACTGCTTCAAACACTGCTACACTTCCTTAGTTCTCTGCTTACCCAGATGCCCCCTCAGAAACCGGCTATCTCACAGCACAAACAGCAGGGTTCTAGGGAGCAAAGACAAAAGGAGCAGCAGGGAGGACTTGAAGAAAGCATTGGAAGAGAAGATGGTGGTAAGGAATTATACTGGGAAGCGCTGCTGCAGTCCCTGGAGCCTGGCAGCAGGTTACTGTAGATAAACACAAGTAAGATTCAGAGCGGGATGTCCTCGCTGTTCTATGACAGGAAAATCTCACCTTATTTTGGTACATCCTCCACTGTCTTTGGATGATTTTGGCTGCTTGCTCCTTCCTGTGATCTTCTTTGCCTTTAACCATGCAGACTGGTGAAGACTGCAAAGGAGAATCTTTAACTTAGAACACTAAAGACACAAGTTGGAAATCTAAGAGGGAAACAGGTTACCAATGACACAGAAAAGTCAGCACCAAAGTTGTTACATGTTCATCCCGCCTGCAGGGTGGAAGGAAGTTACAGAGGAAAGTCTGAGTTCTGAATACTGCTCATGTTCAAACCCGTCACCTAGATGACTGTTACAGTGAAGCACATTCCTGTCCCCATTTTAGCTGTTAGAAGAGCATGGGAATGGGAAGGTTTTTGTTTACACATACTCCTTTTTTTCTATGCATTGCTACAGCAATAGGAGCTCCAACAGTGGAACCCACTGCTTTGTTGATCAGAAATGGTTTGTATGTTATCGACAGACTGAGGACAAATGTCAGGATATCTAATTTTGCAATTCTTCTTCACGAAAGACTAGTTAATTAACTGGGCAGCTCTCTCATGTCTCTCATCCTGGCAACTGTGGCCCCATAATCATCTGTTTAAGCTTACTGATGAGTTGGCCATCGTATGACACCGACAGGACGGAAAGCTTGTGTAAATTGGTGTAACTCTACTCTTCTATCTTGAAGAAATTAATTAGAGGAAAAAGACAGAAACCATGAACAAACCAAGATTTTGTTCCAGTTATTTCTTCTGAAGTTGAATATTCCACCTCTCACCATCTGATCCTTTTGCTCCCTAATTATCATACCTCACTTGCCAAACAAAAGTTAACCGCAACTTTAAATGACTAATTTAATTTGTTGGTGTAAAATTCTAAGTAGAGGAACAAGAGATTTCATAGACTCTGAAAAAACCTCTTGATTCTGTGAAAAGGGTTTATTTATAACCTAAAACGCTGAGTTACAGGCTTAAGTTTAGCAAATGGATCATGTTATATTAAAAATGACAACCTACTATTAAAATGAAAAATTGGTAGGAACGCAGTGATAATTACAAATAATGGGAACATTTCAATAAATGGATGGTTACTGGCCAAGAATATATATAGTCTGCAGAGGGAAAAAGGAGCTGTTTATTGGCTGTTTTTAAAGACTCAAGTTATTTAGTATTCAAAATATCATCTAGCACCCATCAGCCTATAACACACAAAAAAGAACCTAAAGAATTGCACAGTATATCAAAACCCAGCACCCTCTTAAGCTAGTGGACATTTTTATTCATATTTTTTACTACCTGTATTTCAGGGTCTATTTATTTTTAAGTACAAATGATCAAAATCCACAGTAATAATTTTCAACTAGTTTTTAGTGAAATGAAATTAACGTGACCACACTGCGTCTGATAGCATGACTGTCAGTGCCTATTCATCTCTACTGGCCTGTTACCACATTTGGTAGAGGGATGGAAGATTGCAAAAGTATCAAGTTCAGTCATATTTCACAAAAAAGCCCCAACTGATTACAGACCCCCATTTAAGACTGTCCAGGATTAACAAATGCACAAATACATTTATTAGATACCAAAAAATACAGAAAGAAGAGGTTATGAATACCTCAACTTTAAAAAAAACTACAGTTCAATGGGAATAAAGGTTTCTTTTCTTGTATTGACATCTTCCCTAACTCTTTAATATGGTGTTCCATCAGCAGTGGAATTAAAAACCCCTCAGTTTTCATGATTATTAGTGCTCTACACCCTGTAAACCTTCCCATGAAAAAGTATCCCACTTCCATCCAAACAGAAAGGCTAGTGACTGTTTTCTGACTGGACAGCACATGTGCCCTAACTATCACCTGATGAGCATAAAAATCACTGAAAAGAGTCTTTTGTCTTTTGCCAGCCTGCAGTGAGCACACTTATCTGTGTCTCTATCCTTTATCTAACTGTCAACTCCTACAAGACCTTCCTCCCTCTACAAAATTGGACTGAAATTATCTAATGAGTTCAGATATTATAAGAAGATATAAGCGAAACCACAAATTTATTTATTTTTTTTAAAGTAAAGCAAAACCCCCAAACACTTAAAAGTGTAAGCTTTTTGCAACATTCCACTGAATAAGATAAAAGCAATGGTGAGGCAGATTATCACTAACAGAACTCAACCCCCCTCAAGTTGCAGTGCTAATTATTGAAACAACTTATCAACAAATGCTGGGAATTAACCATCATTCAGAATCTCTATGACAAGATTTAATTCCTCTCTGAAAAGACACAACGAGCAGCTACTTAGACTATCATCCCAACTTGCAAGGTATTAGTCAGACGCAAAGGAAAAAAAAAAACACCCAACACAAAACCACTGTCTGTACCTTATTATGCTTTTCCACTGCATCTTCTGCCATTTGTCTCTTCTCTTCCTCCAATTTTGACTCCAATTTCCCTACTTTCTGTGCCAGGTTCTGGATCTCCTCACTATGGTTGGAAAACCAAAGATATTCAGAGCTAGAAATTTTCTGTCGTTCCTGCTTTGAAAATACTGAACCTATTTCATAAGGTTTGGTTGCTCTGGGTTTATTTAAAGGCCACAGTGGGAAACTGCTCAGGATAATATGATACATATTCTTATAGTAACAGATACATAACATCAATTCTCAAGTTGCGATAGCACAGCCTTACGTTAAAACCAAGAAGTCCCAAGGCTACAGTGGTACCCTTCATACTATCAATATTACATCCAGATCTGCTACAGTTTCATATTTGTCGGTCAAAGCCCTTTGTTACGAAGCAATAATGAAATAACTTGTTTTCCCCACCGTTGCACAGGATTATTATCAACAGTTACAGAGAATACACAAAGTAAATGGACTGACATATTCGCAACGGTCTAGAAGCACAGGCCAAGGTAAAAATACTACAGTTTTTTCTTAGAGAAAAATTATAATTTAATTCTTACTTTTACTATACTTAGTAAAAGTATACTTAGGTCTTCCACTTCCTCTAAAACCACTCTATAGAATTCTTCCCCTAGTAACTTACTCCATCCCTCCAAAACAGTTCTGCCTAAGTGAATTCCCAGCTCCCTGCAGTTTAGATGAACTCCTATGGATTTTGAGCCACTTGAAAAGAGAATTATACTTTAACAGGTATTTTTTGGTTCCAAAAGGATCTACTAGTACAAAATATGATACCTTAAAGTTTGCTCTTCCGTGCTCTTTTCTTCCATCTTATTCTGCCACTTCTGCAGCTCCAGCTCCAATTCAGCCTTGGCCTCCAGTAGCTGCTTGATATCTAATCTACAAAGGTATAAATAAATCTAAGCAATACTTAAGACGCTCATAGGTCAACAAAGTAGTTATTTTTTGTTCAAACTTATAAATAAAATAGGCTGTCTCAAATTTGCAGAGTAAGGAGATGTTTCATTTTTCCTTTTAAACAAAACGCAGTCATACATCGTTCAAAAGCAGGCGGCCCCTTCGCAGGCTCTCACTGTACATTTTCGTTAAGAGGTGAGTTGACACAGGAGGCAGAGCGTCCTATCAACAACAGAGCTGTGTGCCCATCTCTGCTCGTCATCAGATGGACCTGCCTGCCCTTATGCACTGACACACCAACGAGTCCAAAGCAATACACGTGGCAAAGCAATTGCTTACTGGGCAGAAAAGAAGTCACCGTGCATCATATGGCAGGAGGCAGGCTTAAATGGAGAAAGTGGTAAATCAGGACAAAACATGTTGAAAAAACGAGACAATTTTTACAGCAGAATACTTGCAAGAAGCGCTGAGTAAAGTGACATATAACCTTTCAAAGGCTTTCAGTGTGGTGGCAAAAAAATATGCCTTGAAAACGTGTTAGAAACAAGCAGAAATTCTCATTTTCCATCCTCTCGCCAACTTTTTGGTTTCTTTCCACAATGTAATTTTACAACGCTAGTAGGATTAGAATAAGCTTTAGAAATAAAAGCTGAAGGGACCCTCAAAATTTGTTTTCTTACTGAAAATGTGAAGGACTTATTACATCATTCCATAATGTGATAGGAAACAAATAATGAAATAGTTCACACCTACAAAAGAATATCATCTCAAACAAGAGCCGCACTTACTCTTTATCGAGCAGAAGATTTTGAAGTGCCTTCCTATCACTCCTCAGCTTCTTCACTAGCCCTTGGAGGCGACGACATTCCTCAACGTGGTCTACCTGTTGAGAGGCTGGATGATCCAGGTCTACAGAAGGTGAAGATGACACAGCGAGTAACTGTGATGACTCGCTCTCTGCTGAGGACACCCTGGTGCTCTCCATGGCACCTACTTTCTAAACAGGATAAAACCACACCAAAAAAAACCCAAAATAAAAAAAGACAACGACAATTAAATTTAGATCAAATGGAAGTTAATTCTGAAACGTGCATCTACACGTAAAAACTATGAGAAAAGAAAAAAGGGAATAATGGCACAGGGTACAGACGTTTACATGCATGGGCCAGGCTGATACACTGAAGGACTACACACTATGAGCACAAGCCAGTGGTTCTGCATTTTCTGCTTGATGACAGGAAAGATGGCCACGTGATTATGATCACTTACTTCTTCTAGTTCTGAAATCCGCCTCACCAGCCTCTGTCTGCTCCACTCACTATAACCTAAACACAATAACAACACTTTAAACACGAAGCTGTATCAGTGAGTCAACATTGCTCTTGCTTTTTGAAACTTCTGTCCATATAGAAAGACCACCTAAAGACCTCTGAACTCCGACTTTAAATACGCAGCAATGAAAAAAATAAGAATGGTCTTAAAATATCTGACTTCTACACCAAGTAACTCAGAAATCAATATAAACCATTCATATTCATCGGTTTTCAACAACTGTTTCCAGTGAAATATTAAATCTTCAAGTGGTTCCAAGTCCAGAATTCTCAGGGAAAATAAAGGAAATCCAGGTCTGACTGGAGTAGCATATCCAGATATCAGAGAGAGACTCCTGTAAGAAACTTCTCATTCCAACTTTTTGAATCTTCACCTTTGTAATAACTCCTTTATTTCTACCACTGTAGGGTCCTGCTCTCAAACACATCTTTCAAGTGTGCCTAAATCCCCTGCCCCACGTTCACCAACTTTTCAGTACATACTTTTTGTTCGATTGGAAGGAGGAGAACTGCTCAGTACATGATCTAGATCTTCTTTCAGCCTCCGATTCTCATTCTGTAACTCCTTGATGTTCCTGGATAATCTCAGGACAGCGGCATTCAGTGCCTTCAGTCGTTTTTGGGTATCTCTGCCCTCTGTACTTGGAAACAGGGTCAAAACCAGAAAGTTAACTTAAAGCAGAGAACAAAGCAGCAGCATTAAAAGGAGCAGAACAGCCTCACCATTCAAGTCAGCTGGCTAAGGTAACTGTCTCAGCCCACCCCCAATAGCATTTCTCAACAATTTTATTTGAGGAGTTACCTATTCTTTTATGAAAAAACATGCAAAGACCATCTTGCTCAACACTTTCACAATTGTTTTAATTTGCATCAAAGAAATAAGATACTCTGAAACTCTAGAAGTTCATTTATTACTTTTACTTCCTCCCCCACTCTGTTTCATTAACGCATAAACAAGGGTGCTCGTATGAGTTTGACTTATTTGGTTTTCTATTCGTTTTGTTAACCAACCTTACAATGCTTTACCAGTTCTCTGCGGACCACTGATTCAAAAACACTTACCTTCAGCCAGTTGGGAGACTCCTCAAAAAAACCTGTTCATCACAGAGAGCTAACCTGCGTGCTCTGAATTGATTTCTTTCACTTAATGAACAGAGTGAGATTGGGAGAGAGAAAGGGCTATACACAGGCGGAATAACTCTCAAACAAATCCAGCACACAACTGTATTTTCAGGTAACTGTGAATGCTACTCTAATGAAAAAGAAACTATTCCTGTGAAAGTAAACCCCAGAGAAATTTCTTTCTTCATTTAAGATACGTTTCAGTCGATAAGAGATTTGAAACAGATTTGAAGGATACAGCTAACATCGATGTGATGGGAATAAAAGGCATCAGAAAACGTAAAGCCCGCTATGCATTAAAACTTTTAAATGTATTACCGTGATTTTGCCTTTTTAATTTTTCTAATAAAAGAGATAAGAAATCTCAGCTTCTAGATGTGCAAATTTTAAAAGTTTGCTCACAAAACAGATTCCTAGTGAGATTAAATACTTGTTCTTTGTTGCTATGAGAAAATTCTGAAAAACTTACTTCTGGAAGCAAAGGTCTGAAGTAACTGACAGACCTACTTTTGGACAAACACCACTGCCAATGACAATCACAGAACAGTTTGTGAAAGAATCTTACATCTCATCCACTGGAATAATTACAAGGTAAAGAGGGAGACAGTCTACAATTAGCCTGAGTGAAAAGCTGAATCTTATCTACCTTTTAAAAATTAAAAGGAAATGAAGCCATATAAACAAACAAATAAGGCTGCCCAGATGTCATGGGTGACTATTCATACAGCTGTCCCAGGCAGGAGGGGAAAAAAAAAAAACAAACTAAAAACCAAAACACACCACACCACCAAAAATGGGAAGTGACAGAAATTGCAGAAATCATAACTGTATCACCAAGTGCCATTACTGTAGGCTCAAATACATGAAAGAATTGCAGACCATTTTGAGGACTTGAAAGGTTGCCTAGTTTCTAGCTACAATTGGATACTACAGCTTCACATATAAATAATCCTATTTCAGCATCAACACTGAAAAAGAGGAGCTAAATGCCACTCACTTCAGCCAAAAATAATGTAGACAAGCATCATGAAAGAAACTCTCCTACAACTCTTTCTATGTGCCAGAGTCTTGACCTTCAACAGCATTTATTATTTCAGTGCTCAGCTTCTCAAGTAGAGACTGACAGTCACATAATGGAGAGAGACTGCCCTGACCACTGCTTTTTGAAGCTATGAATAAATGAGGACAAGGAAGAAACCTGATGACTCATTTTTACCTGTGAATAAATTAGGTGTGATGGCTTATAGCCTCAAGAGGCTAGTCACTGCATGCCTCAGCCAAGAGAGATTAAATTATTTATTTTTTTTTTAAACAGTGACAAAACAAATTGCAGTTTTCAATCCACAAGAGACAGTGAATTAGGGAAACCTAAGTAGTATCCATAATGACCCATAAAGAGTTCTTATATGTTTCTATCAATCTAAATAATTACACCCAAAATTAAGACAGATGCCTGTACTTAACACTAGGAGGACAAGCATACTCTGAAGTGGTGTAGTAACAAATTTTCCTGTCCCACAAGACCATTACCCTCTTCTCAGCTTGAAAAACACTCACTTGAGTAGGTGCTTTTAATTTTCTGTCTTACTGGAGCTCTGACTTTTGCCGTTGTGCTTTGATTTTTATTTCCTCTATAGCCTGTTTACCCTCACCACCATGACTACACCCACACACTAGTGACAAGCACTAGTACAAGCTTCTCTGACAGTGTCTTCCTAGTGCCGCTCATGGATATCTCACAAAAGCTACCCTGACCCGCACATCTGTCTCTCTGTACTACAGGAAAATAATGTTTACTCCAAAATACCTTCTTTGCAGCATACATCCTAGAGCAGGATTCCGACCGACTCAAGAGTAAAATGTCAAACATCTAGTAAGTTTGTTTCAATCACCAGTGATGTCGGAATAGGTGTGATTATGGGGGAAGATGGATTTTATAAATTTTCAGCACTTCCATGTACTTTTAAAATAGCTCTAGTATTTTTTTCCACATCCACAAAATGATCTACCTCAAAGAAAGAAAACTTGACAGAGACAAGGCTGTGAAGCCAACCAAAGCAGTACCAAAAAGCAAATCCAGCAATCCAAATGACAAACTGTTTCCATGTAGTTGTTTTCCACCAGTTAAAGTAGTACGAGTGATGTATAAGACACATATATGCAAACATTTGCCTCAATAGAATTGAACATACTTTTTCCTCATAGTCTCAGATTTTGCCAGAAGGAGTTGGAGACGATGAACCTGTGAAATATGAAATACAGATCCCATTAAGGAGATAGCTGTGGAAGCTGACATCGCTAATGCAACACATTTGTCCATTAGGTAAAAATCAGAACAAGACTCTCTGGGCAATAGCAGAGGCAATGATGCCATCACTGAAAATCAGGCTACTATTATATTGGCTTTCATCTAGACACTTCACTTACAGACGTACATTAGCTTCTTTATTTCCCCCTTTCAGTGAACACACTCAACTTACTGAAGAAAAAGGGTTTTTTCAGTACATATTGTTGGAGTTATGAGAATATCTATGAAAATCTAATTCCAATGGCAGGTGCAGCTAAGCTGTAAGAAACCTATCTAAAACACTCCATTTATACTTTGACTCAACACTGGACAACTTCCTCTCCATTGAAGGACCTGTCAGATGTACCTCTTCATAGTAGGTTTCCATAGCCATCCTCATTTCTTCCAAATTATTAGTCTTCACATCTGCCTGGAATTTGCTGAAAATAGAATCATACAACAAATAATGCAGTCAGCCCAGCAAAGATACTGCAATATCTGCTGGTTTACAATTGTAAATGTAATATGCTAATATGTTCCCAGAATTCATTAAAACATCTTAAGGAACAGAAAAATACAAATGAAAAATAACAGACTTCAAATTCCCTCTATTATCTCATGCAATATAAGCCTCTACCCCTCCCAAAGTCATACTTAATAGTGTTGTCTTTCTCCTTGCACTGTTGTTCAAGCTTGAGAATCTTCTGCTTTAATCCACTAGCCACCTACAGAAAGAACAAAGAGCTCATGAGTCCTAGAGCAATCCGTCTCTTCACAGAAGTTCCATTTCTCCATAATCTTGCTCTATCTTTATAAATTGTACCTAACCAGTTATACTTATTCCTACACACTTCAGTACTCAGTAAATCATACGCATGTCTGCTACCCTGTGATGAAGGGAACACAAATAAAATCAAATCCCTAACTTATATCTGCAGTGACATAACCAGCTTAATATTTATACACAATCATGAAATAAAAACAACTCTGCCCGTTACCCTGCTAAATTCAAAGCCTCAAATAATAGGGAGAATGCTCCCTAAACAGATTCAAGATAATGACAACGAAGGCTCCTTAAAATAATGCTAATTCCAGATCTTTGTTACTGGTTTCTTATCTGACTATAGAAATAATGGTTACATTATTACCTAATTGCTTATTCTTTCTTATTTAATTTTACTTCTTTCTTCAGTAGTGTTTCAGCTTGGCAAGAGGAAAAAAAAGAAAAATGAAAGCAAAAGGTCATGAAGAAACTATTACCCATCCATTACGAGTCTTCTTTTCTGACAAAGCTCGTGCCAGCTCAGAGCCCTGCAAGGTAAGACAGATAAAGCAAGTGACCAGCCTTGCTACTTTATTCCACTGCTGGCTCTTTCCACAGAGTTTTCTAACCTAATCATCTCCACAGTCGCTTCACAGTCCAAAAGCTTAAGTTCTGAAGTCCCTATGCTCACTGTTTTATATTAGCACACTTCTCCCAGGATGTGGATCTGCACACAGAAAGTTGCAGCCACAAGGAATTCAGTGAAATTCGGGTTTTCTAACTATGACCCTAAATGCTTTGTGGGTCTGATAATAAGGCTCATCTTTTGCTTCCTGGTTCAGGTCTCAGGACCACATGCATCAGTCACCATGCAAGAGGTTAACTCCCCTTCTACCCTCAGGCAAAATATTCAGTAAATGGGCCTCTAAAGAGAGAGCATTTTAATTTTACCTTCAGAAACCAAAAGATCTTTGCTAAACAAACTTATCTACACAGCATGGCACCATATTCCCTTGAACTGAGCTGGACTGGTGAGCTGAGATACACAAAACAGAAACCCCTTCACACCAACCAACCACATCTCATATTCAGGCTCATCATTCCTAGGAGCCGACACACTACAGAATCCTGAAATCTAGAGACAAGAGGAGGATCACACTGCCCAGCACTCTTTTGTCCCAATTTTTTCCCCCCAAGAAATAGTCACCCTGGAAGGATCCAACAGTTGTTCAATCTGTTTATCCTTTCTATTGTTCTCTTCTTCTAGTCGACGGAGCTTCGTTTTCATTCGATCTCCCTCATTTTTCTGAGCATGTATTGTCTAAAATAGGGGAGAAAAATTGTAAGCACATTTCAGAAATAGAAATGCACTGACTTTTCACATGGAAACACACTTTGATGTCACCAACAACTCAATGACGATGGTCAGGACGAAGCAAAGTAAAAAAAAAAAAAAAAAAGATACAATCATACTGGACCAGGGCTGACAGATAAGGGAGGTAACAGGGCAAAGACAAATGGCAAAGGTTTAACAGAAAGGCAACCTTACACAAATGATCTACAACAGTCAAGATACTTGTCTCTAGGTATCCCTAGTGTTCAACATGCCCTGTCCTCACCTTTCATACACTGCACTAAACTCAACTGACCAATTGTTAAAATGTGATGGGTAACAGCCAGGAAGGGGGAAAAATATAAATAAATTAAAAAATGAGGTGGAGGGACAAAGAAACCAAATGTAATGAACCTTTTCAGCGTCCAGCTAGGGCCATGGCTGGGGTTCAGGACTGGGTATACTTCAAGGCTTCCACATCCAGTACTCAGAAGTATCTATCACACCATAAGAACAATGAAATTGCCTTAAACAGACACAAGTTTAGTTTAGCCCTACATTACAAATGCAAAAAGGTTTGGTGGATGTCCCAGCTGTAGAAACCAAAGTATTCTGAACCAACAAGGCCTGGACATCTACAGGCAGATGGAGTGACGCTACAACTTTCCACGTGAGTGTCAGAGAGACTGTACCTTTTTCAGTTCTATAATTTCATCATACATATCTTCTTTTTCTTTGTAGTCAGGAGTTCCAGGAATGTAGCCTACAGAGAAAGGTACATAAAATAAGCAGATTGGAAAGAGGTATTTTCAACTAACCAGAAACCTTACAGTTAAAGGAAAATATCAAGAACAGCACCAAAATGGAGAGTAGGCTTTTTTTTTTTTTTTAAGAAGAAGAAGAAAACTCAGCAAGGAAATCAATCTTAGACACGGAGGTGAAATGGAAATGTTACTGAATGAAACTTCTGACAGATTTCACAGGAAATTTCTCCTAAATACCTCTCTTGTCTTTGGTGCTAGATTAAAATATCCATCTCAAGACACACATACACTTGACAGAAGACTGCAGTCTTCTCATCCCAACAAATCAATTATTCCCAGAAGATTTCTAAAAGATGTCCAGAATACATTTTTCTATCTATGCCTAACATGTAAAAGTTAGTTAGTTAGTTTTAAAGTTGCCACAAATTGTGTATTACCAGTAATAGTATAGGTGTCACTTTAAATGGAAGTGGGATTTTTAAGTTTACAGTTCTCCTTTAAGAAAAGCAGGGTAAGTTTTAAATTTTGCTGTTCTCATAAAACTCAATTGATTTTAATACCACAACCACATGATAAAACACTTTCTAGAGAAGAAGTAAAAGGAGTCAATTACATAGAATTTCAGGCCAGCAGATGGTTTCTATCAATGGTTCCTAAACTATGTTTTGCAAAGTCACAATAAATTGTCTACAGCTGGCCCATTGAAACACATTACATTTGCAATGTTTTCAGCTGCAAATGCATGGCAATTTGCAAAAAGTTCTGAAAGCTAACAGTGCTTCGTTGCTCAAAAAAATTTGGAAACCCCTATCTTATCCAATTTAGGAATCTCAAAAAGTATCTCATGGATCATATTTTGACACATGTATTTTAATACAGGCTAAACTGAAATGGCTCTTGCTTTACTAAAGCTAAGATCTTAAGCAATGTGCATTTTTACACGGAAAAAAGATCATTAACTTTTATCTACCACACCACTACATAGTTTACCATTACTAGAAGAACGAGAATGTTTTGGCTTCTTCATTCCTAGAGCTTCCTTTAAATACTCCGGAGTCCTACTAGAAATGTTAGTTCGCATATGCCCCGTGTCAATATCTGATTTCAGAGGATGGCTCATTCCTGCCAACAAAAATGGAACAAAAATGCAAAAATCAGGGATAATTGTGAATTAAATTTGTGGATTTATTCTGAGCAAATGCAACACAGAAAGCTCCAGATGCTGTTAATTATTCCCTTATAAATTCCAGTGCTCAAGATCAGATAATTCCAACCACCCAAATAAATAATAGTGAGATGACTTCCTATCTACCCTATAATCAAATACAAATCTATTTTTAAGGATTATATATGTTAAACTGTCCACAACACTGAATTTTATCCATATATGCAGATAAAGTTTCTATACTAATACCTTGTTTCAGTGATCCCAGCCACATATGTCTTGGGTTTTTTACAGCTGCACTCTCGAGACGTGCGCTGCCTGTTCCCTGCAGAGCTCGCCAAACTGCAGCTCTTTTAGGATACAGTTGTGTGCTAGAGCTGTACGGAGACTCTGTAACAAAAGAAAATATCTTAGTGTTGCCTTAAGAAGCTCAAGGTCACAAAAATTCTTTCTGTCTTGTGCTTCAAGGTTCCCAGACACAGTCCTATTACAAAGACAGAATTTAACAGCACACTACATACTGGCTTATATGGAGCAATGGGACATTCACCTAAAAATAAAATCATTATCAAGAAAAAATCCAATTCCAAAAAATGGAGACGCTTAGAAAGAAGCATAGTCAGAGTAATATGACTCAACATATGTAGAATTATTTATACGTACAGTTTGGATAGACAGGCAGGTATCCTAAGGATGCTTAAATTTATACATTACATTGATCTTTCAACGAATGTAAACACAAAGGCCCTATCAATGAGAAAAACATGTATGGCTAAACAGACAGAAGTAACTCTATAGCTCCTAATCCTCTAGAAATTTTCTTGCAGTAATCAAAGAACAGAATTGGCCTCATGTGACTGCTGGGAAGCCCCTCACATTACTACATCAGGTATGGTGGTCAGGTTCAAAGACTGACTCTAAGTCCACTTTAAATTGTTAGTACAGCTGTGCATTATAGGGGCTAACTACCTAGTCTCCAAATTACCAAGAGAAGTACTTCAATAAGTACTTCTATTTGAAGTAGTCTTCAAATTACCAAGAGAAGTAAGAAGTCATGTCACATACATCACAGCTGAAATTAAACAGCTATTTTAAATTTCATCATTTAGGCAAGCAAAGGGATTTCAGGAGAAGACAGACAGATGTACATTCACCAGAAGAGCATGCCTTCTCAATCTAAATTTAAAACTACAATATTATTTATTTGAAACAAAACAAAATAACAACAATCAGCAATGCTTTGAGCTAAAGTCTTCTTTGAAACATTCACTGGAAGTAGAAAAAGGGAGGTAAATGGCAAAGTATAGTAAGAAACAAAAACTCCAGAAAAAAGCACAAAACGCCACACGAAAACTGCAGATCTAATAACAACATTGTACTTCTAAGGTCATGTGAAAAAAAAACCCAAAACGCAACAAATGAAACAGTAAACTGCTTAATCTACAAACATAGATATCTACTGGATGGTAGGTAGCTCCAGGAATTCTGGATTCTTTCTACATAGCAAGTATCAGCATTTCTCCAAAAAGACAAGAGAAAAAGAAATTCAGAATGCTTGCCATCAGAAGGGTTAACATGAGAAGAAAGTAGTTTATGCTAGAGAATCAAGTATTACAACTAACCCGAAAACTTCCATATTTAGTCTATAAAAGTCTAACTTCACAGGTTACAGAACAAATCTCAGGTAGGTGTGCTCTGCACACACCAATGAACAATTCTAAAGAGAATAAAAATACGTTATTTCAAGTACATCTTCCAGTTCCTGTGTCCCACAAATCTAAGTTGTTCTGCAATAACAGAAGCAAAAGAAAAAATTCTGGAACACTTACTTGGCGACTTTGGAGGCTTGTGAAAAATTTTCTTCTTTAAATTCTGGAAGAGAAAAAAAAAATTATGTATTTAAAATATTCCACTCTTCAAAGATTTCAGCGTATAATCTCACAATCGGCTTCAATCTCCATTTTGTATGAAGATCATTTGTTCTAATATCACAAAATCTTTTGTGTGGAAAAGAAAAATAGTAGCATTAGTATATGTGGATTTGGCCACAGCAATGGTCACCAGAATTAAGGTGGCGCCTACTGAAGGTTTATGCTACAGATAAAAGGCAGCCCATTCATGCTCAGAACACTAAGACCTTCCCTACCAGTATTAAATATGAGTAGCAGCAAATTCAAGGTGATCACAGAGTAGAAGCTGATCTGCAGAGCCATTTAGCTAAAAGACAGACTTATTAAATGCCATTAAAACTCTGTAAAAGGATTATTGTGGCCCACAACTTGATAGAACAGCGAAATGAAGCCAAACATCATTTGCAGCCCCCAGTGCTGAGCATTCAGAAGCCAGAATTACATCTGGAATTAGAGGAGGTTTTTGAATCAAACTACATTGCAATAACATTGTTAGCTCTCCTCTCTGAAGGGTGTCTTATCAACCAGGAGGCATCAGGCGGATGTAGTGTGGGCAAGAACATGCTGAGAGGCCTTCAAGGCATTCATCCACACAACTCACCGCTTCTGTATCTGATCCACAGCTTATCACAGACAGGCTGTCATCTCCCTGCGAAACAGAGACATTAACTGTGACGTTTGCTACTAAATAATTTGTTATAATACATGTCCAGAAAACCTTATATCCTTTCACTATCACAATGAAGTTTGAGTGTAACACATTCAAACGGTAAATGCGTCACCGCTGTCACAAAAGCCAGCATCATTTGCTGTAACACAAACATTCTGTGTGAGATACTGCAAGTCACTTCAGACTCGAGCCACAGAGACCTACGCACTTCAGCGCGCAGCACTACACCAGCTGAACCTTCAGGTGCCCCATCTTCCATCGTGCTCGCTCTGCATGAATTTCTCCGCCAGCAAGAATTAAGCAGCAACTCATTGGTCTGTCCCCTTCCTCGCTCACTTACTCCTACCCTTGCTATGCGATGGGAACTGTCAGTGAACTTGACTGGAGAAGTGATCGGGCTGAGGAAAAAACCCCAAACCAAGGAATCAAGAAGTGGTTAATTTTTCCTCAGATGGAGCCGACAAGTTTCCCTGCTTCTCAAACGTAAGCAGATTCACAGCAAGAAGGAAAATTTCCACTTGGCTTTCAAATTATCTGAATGTGTGCTGCCCTCCCAGAAAGAACATTTCCCCTCGCTGCTGACTCCATGGTGCTCCCAGCTGAGCACCACTCTTTGGACAGATACTGGTACCTCTCTGTAAAAGGCAGGACAGGGTGAAGTGTGTTTCAGAACCCTGGCTGGCAACAGGAGCTGGGCTTGACAACAGGGCAGGTAAAACAGCTTTTTGTGCTGGCTGGGAGCGAGCAGGTATACATCTCACACCCCACGCCACACAGATTTTAATTTCCGGAGGCAGTGTTCCTTCCAGCACACTGATTATTTTTTGTTATTTTAAGGCCTTTTAATCACTCTGGGAGATCTCTCCAGCTGCAGCTATCGCATCAGGAATCGAATGTGGAAGGCGCCCAGCCCTGATAGATGACAGACAGCAAAACATTCACCAGGATATAAACGTGCATTAACAAAACCACTGCAGTCCTTGGAAACCTCCACAGTCCCTTTGCTCTTGCAAAACGGGCCCAACAAGAGCCACCTACGACAAACAACAAGAGAACATGTTGGCTCCCAACAAAGGGCCTCAAAACCTCCCTCTGGCTACCGAGGGGCAGGGAAAGGAACGCTAACACCCCCGCTCCGTGCCACCGGCCAGCCAAAGAGATACGGGCAGAACCCAGAACCCCGCGGGCTAGAGACGGACGAAGCCGGCCTCCTCCGCTCCTAACCACCGCTTCGCCGGCCTGGCGGGGCTCACGGCTTTGCCCCGGCCCCGAGGACAGGCAAAAACCCTTCCCGAGCCGACCCAGAACCCCGCGGGCTAGAGACGGACGAAGCCGCCCTCCTCCGCTCCTAACCACCGCTTCGCCGGCCTGGCGGGGCTCACGGCTTTGCCCCGGCCCCGAGGACAGGCAAAAACCCTTCCCGAGCCG